CATTGAGGGACCGACTGGTTGTGGTAAAACAACACAAGTACCACAGTATATACTTGATTCGTGTTACCAAAAAAAAACTCATTGTAACATCATAGGTGACTTATCTTTTTTTTTTTTATATTACCATGCTTATATAAAACTGTATAAAAGATAGTTCTTCTTTTTAATGAATTTTCATTCAAAATATGTTCATACTTTATTGAATTGAATTAAATTAATAAAATATTTCTTTGATAACTTTTAATAGTAACACAACCTAGACGCATTGCTGCTTCAAGTATTGCAAAAAGAGTTAGTCAAGAAAGAAAATGGCCTGTAGGAACCCTTGTTGGATATAAAATAGGAATGATGAACTGTACTTCTAAAGATACACGTTTAACGTATTGTACAACTGGGGTACTTTTACGGGTATTGATCTATAAAAAACACATGTTGGAATACACTCATATTATACTAGATGAAGTTCATGAACGTAATCAAGAATTGGATTTCCTATTACTTGTTATAAGAAAATTATTAAGGACCAATTCCCGTAACGTGAAAGTTATACTTATGTCTGCAACATTTAATGTTGAAAAATTTGCTAATTATTTTTCATCGCCTGTTGGAAATAAACTTGAGCCTGCGCCTGTCATTAGTATTGTTAAGCAAAATTTTTATAATACAAAGATTTATTATCTTTGTCATCTTGGAATGTTAGGAGAAGTAAGTAATAAATACAACCTTATATAATTCTTAAATATGAATACGTTTTTATATATAATAATTATAAATATTTATATAAAAACAATTTATTTTTTTTTATATATCTAATAGTTACCAGAAATATTACCACATGAACCAAAAGTCACAAGAAATTTACTGGAATTTTGTGTACGCATAATAATTGTTTTGGATGAGTTAGACATGAAAGTAGGTGATGCAGAAAATGACATTGGAATAGGATCTTGTAATAGACACGTCGTTCTTATATTTTTACCAGGAATTTATGAAATAGAAGAACTACATAATATGTTAATGTCTCCAAAATATAAAAGCGCTAAATGGGATATTGTCGTTTTACATTCCTCACTTACAAGCGAGGAACAATTCAAAATTTTCCAGCAACCTCCAGAAAACTATCGTCGTATTATTTTATCAACAAATATTGCTGAAAGTAGCATTACTGTACCTGATGTGAAATTTGGTATGACTATATCAGTATCTTCAATAAAATTTAATCAATACTTGAATTAAAATATATTCTTTTTTTTTGACAGTGATTGATTTTTGCTTAACAAAACAACTAGTGACTGATCCACAAACTAATTTTCAATCTTTGGAGCTTTCTTGGGCCAGTAAAGTGAATTGTAAACAACGCGCTGGTCGTACAGGTCGTGTAATGGATGGTAGAGTATACAGATTAGTACCAAAAAATTTTTATTATGTAAGTATTATTTTATATTCGTTTAAAAAAATAAAGAAAAAATCATGAATTAATTTATTTTTTGATATAATTCAAGTCAGTACTACCCGAAGAAGGAAATCCTGAAATGTTGAGAGCTCCTCTCGAAAATGTAATTCTTCAGGCCAAAATTTTAAATATGGGTGAACCTAAAGCTATTTTAGCTTTAAGTCTTGATCCACCCGATCTTAGCAACATAGAACGCACTATACTGATATTAAAAGAATCTGGCGCATTACTTAACAATAATAATAAAACACAAGTTCTTGATGGTGAATTAACAGATCTTGGCCGTATAATGGCTGCTCTGCCATTAAATATTAACGTTACTAAATTGATTGTATTAGGTCATCTCTTCAGTGTTTTAAGGGATACAATAATAATTGGTTGTAGTATGACCATAAAAGATATGTTTTGTAGCCCATTTAGAAAGAAGTTATTAGCTTATAATGTGAAACTTACTTGGGCTAATGATTCAGAAAGTGATTGTATATCATTTCTAAATGTTTACAAGGTATGGACAAGGGAAAAAGCAAACCGTCGTTTAAATAACCGTGATATAGAAAAAAGATGGGCAAAAAGACAATTTGTTCAAATAAAAGTATTGCGTGAAATTGAGGCTCTCGTACTTGAGGTGACCCAAACGTTGGAAACATTTAATATAGTTGAAAGTGTTGGAATTAATAAAGTCAAGTGGGATGATGAAATACGACCACTTATTCTTAAAATTGTTATTGCTGGTGCATTTTATCCTAATTATTGTATGAAACGCCAAAATACTGAAGAATTAAAAGAGGGACATAAAATTTTGAATGGACTAGACATAACTAAGACAGTATATTTACAAGGTTGGCCAATTAAACAACCAGGATTTTTGTACGCACGGAAAATTCAGAAACTTTTCCAACCTTGTCTCAATTCTTCCGTTGGAAAAGTAATCGTTTCGTTTAAGTCTACACGTTTATATGTTCAATTTAATAAAGATTATATAGATGAGGAAAGAAAAATTCCACTTTCAATGTACAGGGCCATTAAAATGAGACGATGTGACATTCCTATCAAAATATCTCTATTAAGTGAAAAAAAAGTTGTTGATTTTGCAAAGCAAATGAATTTTGAAGTACAGCCAACAGAATTTCTTAACAAGAATGTTTCTATAAAAGAAGATAAAAGACCTGCTTATGTTAAACCAAATCTTCCAGGTTTTGATATTTCATGCATTCCAATCAAGCTAGTAAACGTACGTATGTAAATTAATTTATTTATATTCATAAAAAGTCCAATATTTTTTATATGTATATATATTATATTTATATTTAATTTACAGATCATAAATCCTGGTCATTTTTGGGTAAACATAAATGATAAAGATACGCATGATGAGATAAAATACATAAGAGAAGTTCTAAATAGAAAAGAATATGCTTTGAGTAAATTCAATTCTCTTCCCGAGATTGACACTCTTGTGGCTGTTCCATTGAAATTAAAGGAACATCTCCAAGTAGAATATTACCGTGGTATTATTAAAAATTATGTTGAAATACATGATAAAACGTTTGCTTTATGCCAATTAATTGATATTGGTTATACCACAAAAATTCATATTAACGAAATACGAAAAATCACAAATGCTAAAAGTGTTATAAATATTCCTGCTTTAGCACTGGAATGTGTTTTAGCTAATATACAACCTTCTACAATACACGGTTACAAGATACAATGGTCTGAGGAAGCTGAATTAAAATTTCATGAGCTAATTGGAAATAATGAAAATATATTTGGTGAAATATATTCTGTTGTTAATAGTGTTATAGCTTTAACATTAATATCTGTAATTAAAGATAAAAAATTTAATATTAATGAAATATTAATAGATACCAAATTAGCAATTGTCAAAGAAGAAAGTTATTTATCACAACGTAACAATAATATAAGGAAAAACTACAAAAATATGAATACAACGGAAATTCTTTGTTATGAGAAGATGCAATACGACGATTGTTATGATTTATGTAATGATTATCCTGATCCTCCTGAAGATTCAGAATGTATTTCTACAGTACATTTACGTGGTCCTTTTTCTCCCCTCGAATGTAATTTACAACATCTTACCATTGCTGGCAGAGATAAGAAAATCTGCATTGAGAATAATTCAGTTAATTCAGTTATTCTTGATAATAATTGGGAAGAACAGCAAGAGAATCTCTTAGTAGCTGGATCTATAAACCAGAATGTAGCTAATAACAGTTTAATATTACATAATACCACTTTACTACCTGCCATTCCTGGCCTAATATCTTTACTGGTTTTAATTTTTACACCACGTATGGAATTACGACGTAATTCTCTTGGTTCACATTTTATCGGAGCATTGTGTGGATTAGGATATGATAGTTCTACCAAAGAAAGTATTTTTCCAGAACATGATATGGAAATCAATTTTGATGTTGAGATAACATTAGATGATTTACAAGATGTGAGAATATATATTTATTTGATTGATATATACAGGGTGTCGCATAAAAAATTTACCATTTTTTTATTTTTTTATTAGTGTTTTTTTTAATGTTTCAAAGTGTTTCAAGTTTTCAAAGTGTGGTAACATAACAACTTGGAATACTTAAAACAATCAAAGTGTGGTAACATTTTTTTGCGACACCCTGCAGATTTATTTAATATTACATCATGAAATGAAATTTGTGTTCAAATTTTATATTTACAGATAAATAGATTGCGATATTGGATGAATATTGGTATGCAAATTAGCGAAAACATTAAAGGGCACAATAATTTTATGGAAATGATCACTTGTCAAAATAAAATCGAAGCAATATTGTCCAAACTTATAAATAAAAATAGAAAAAAGCAAAATCCTGAAATGGTGGGGAATTTTTATAAATGGGCATTGTATGATGAATCATTGTTTTTAAAACCTTACGAAAACACCATGATTAAAAATAATATTTACAATTTACATTGGGCATTAGAATTAAAAGAAACAGATGATGAATTAGAAGAATTATCAAATCATCTTAAAGAATTACGCATTCTTGCTTCAGAGTAAGTTGATGAAAAAATATTGTTGTGCATCTTAATCTCATTTCATATTATTAGTCATTAATATCAAAATAATTTTTCCTCGTACAGAAATGATCGAAATACATTGAATACTGAGATTTGCTGCAAATTTTGTAAAGCAACTGTTTATGGTATTGCGAGACTTCGCGAACATCTGTATACATCGGAACACAAACAAAATGAGAAAAAGTGGCCTATTAAACTTTAAACATTAATTTTGATATAATTATTCTTTTTTTTATATATTTTGATGGCGATATACTTGCCAATGAAAAGAAAATATTTTTAGTTATGAATTAGCAAATATTATATAATTCACAAATGTACCTTGACATGGACATTGCTAACAGTATTATATAAAGTATCATTATCACTATTCAAAAGTTGACCTATTGTTATGATCTATACATATAACGTATATGTCATCATATACTTTAAGACAATATTAATGAATATTGTAGGAAATACACCAAAAATATTGTGTTAATTATTTTTTTTTATATTGTTTATAAAATATGCTTATAGATAATGAAAGATGAAATTTGCATTATATTCTATTGTATACTACTTTATATTCCTTTTTCGACTGACTTTAGCGTCGACCATAAGCGTCGAATTGAATTTTTAGTATTTATAAAAACGTAAATGTGTTGTCAAATTTAATCGATAATATTTAAAATCGAATAATATAACATTTCATATATTTTTAAGAAATAATAATAAGCTGATACATTAATTATAATAATAATAACAAATAAGATATACGAGGTGTCCCAAGTTACACTTTTCACAATTTTTCAAATACTTCAATAACCTTACAAAAAAGTATTTTAAACAAAAGTTGATTAGTTTTGGATTGACTATACATTGCAATAAAAAAAAAGTTAAAAATTTTAATTATCAATATTCTTGTCCAAACAATATATTAATATATAAGTTTCAAATTTGACAACAAGGTCAAAATAAATTGTTCATCAAATTTATTAACTGTCTTTAATTCCCTTTGAAACTTATATGTTAAAAAATTTTTTTTTTATTATTGTCAGTACTGAGATACTATTACGGAATATTTTCTATTTTACAAATGAATTCGTATATTGTTTTTCACAAATGTGTCCTGTAAATAAACTGTAAACTAAATAAAAATACTTACTTGTATTAATCAAATGATATATAAAAATTATAGATTTCGATGTTCATTCTATAACTCTCTTTGCAAATAACGTGCACCAGGTTGTGTATATAATAAACGACCAGGTATATTAGCTCCAGATGCATTAACATAAGTTCCAGGAGGTGGGGGAGGATATGGTCCAGGTGGTGGTTGAGGTGCTCGTACTGGATATCCAGAAGTAATACCACCTGTTTTGGTCCCCTTTAAAACATAATCGAATGTCTAATAAAAATAATGAGATATATTATGAAAAGTTGCTATATTAATAAAATAAATATTTTTATATTCAAATTTTATATAATGTATTCTTACTTGTGATGGTTGTTGAATTGGCATAGCGCCACCGTGTACAGTAACATGACTACCAGGGCGAAGATAAAATTTATCTTCTGCGTATGTACCTTTATGTTCTAGAGTATGCAAACTAGTTACATAAGCTACAAAAAAATATAATGGGTTTTTATTAATTTAAAAAATTATTACGTACTATTTAAATCAAAGATTTTTAAAGTAAATAATTTCGATATTCATAAAGATTATAAAATAGAATACAAAATACCTGTTTGATGTGTAGATAATGCTGCTCTATTTCCTGATAAATATACTGGTTTTGCAAGTTCGGATTCTCTAGACTGCTGTGAAGTTGGAGCAGAATAACTATAGACAGTTTGTCCGGTAGGTGCAGAATAGAAATTGGATGCAGAATATTGACTGTTTTCTAAAATAGTGAAATTATTACACATGATATATTTTGTAATTGTAAATGATAGTTCAAATAGACTCCAAAGTTACTCACTATTCCAAAGAACAGCCCTAGAATCGTTAGATCTTCTAGCAGCATCCTCAGATTCTATAATATTGGAATAAATCACTCACATGTGGCAGTTACAATTAAAAGGTATTAAACTAATTAAATACACTTACTAGACGGAGGTGGATTGTAGCTTGAAATAGCAGGTGGTGGTTTATATCCATATCCCGCATGGTACGGAGATGCAGTCGGAGGAGGTGATGGACTATGTGATCTTTTTAACGGACCCTTTTTAATAAAATAATAAACATAATTTAATATATGTCAATATAATATTTGTGATATTAAAAATACTAAACATACAGTTGGTAAAAGAGTATGCGTTGGTGCACCCACTGCTACTTTATTATACAAAGGACTGTTGCTACGTGGTAATGGTAGAAATAGTGGAGGCTGTACTACTTGTGAAACTGTACCATGATATCCTCCAACTGCCGTTAACACTTCGGAACAGTTTCTATGTGCATAATAATATAATTATGTGTAAATCTTGAAAGTTTTATAGAAAATATTAACTCATTTTAGAAATATTAGTTTAATATGAAAAAAGAAAGATGGATAGAGAAAATACCTCGTTTCCTTGATAAGTTGACGCCTTCTATTGTCATCTTCGTTAAGAACTTTTTTCAATTGCAAAAATAATTGATGCTTTTCATCTTTTAGTTGAGCTAATTCATTTTCAAGATTAGATATTTGTTCACGCGTTTCGCCTAAAGTCATAACATCTTGTTTTTGCTGACGTTCTCTCTCCTTTCTTTGACGTTCTTCTTCAGCATCAGCTTCTTGTTCTATACAAATAATAACGTGTATTTTCTCCTCAAAAATTGTAAATTACATATTCATTAACTAAATACAAGTATCGATAGAATTATACCTTGTTTTTTTCTTTGTCGTTCCCTTGTAATATGAGTTTTTAATGCTTGCCACATCTGTTCACTACGCTGAGGTGGTCCTACTATTACAGCAGGCATCTTTTCTCTATATTACTTTACTATTTCTCTTAACTATTATTAATTAGATTATATATATATTAACATTTTTTCAATTTTTACAAAATTGTATTAGATTAATATTTTTATAACATTTTGTACAAATTATGTTTAACCTTAAAACTACGCTATTAATTTTATTACATTATACTAATATTTAAATATATTAATTCACTGATTAAGAACGCAAAATTTATTATTTATTATTATTATTATTATTATTATTATTATTAATATTATTATTATTATATTTAAGATTAATTTTTAAAAAATCTATATTTCTTTAGCAAGATAAAAATTGTTTCTTTATGAAAAGATCAAAAAATATTTTATTATAATGTATTCCAGTTAATGTATACATATCTTTTTTTCTATTTTATTAAATTAAATAAAACAAGAGAGCACAACACTGTCCTGTATTCAATATGTTTGTTGGTAGCTAAATTACAAGTTTTATTTTTGGGATATTTTTCGTACGAAACTATACACAAGTATGAAAGGATGATATCTTTTGCCACTAGAAAGCGCAACGATTCGATGGGTCAGATTTTTTAAATATAGTAGTTGTACCACACACAACACACACACGTACTCAAATCTAAACTCCCGAACATCACCGCCGCTCTCGTGGATAATTATCGTACCCGATGTTTCCTCATTTTCAACAACACAAATTCAACGAGAACGCGTATTGCGTTCGTTCTCCTTGTATATAGACTTCGTGGTTTTTCGTTTTCGACCTATCACATATAGCTCACATAACAGATTTAGTGTCTTTTTACCACATTACTAGCAAGAAACTGTTCAGTAACGTAGCTATATACAGGCTCCATGTGCTCAGTCGTGTTGTGGCTACATGATGATAGTTACTGGGTATATATGGTGGCATTAGAGATACGCATGAGCACCGATTTGATTTTAAAAGTGATTTATGTGGAATAAATACAATCATTTATAATAATAATAGAAAAATATAACATTTATTTACAAACGCGTTATTATCTGTTTCACAGTTACATTTATTTATAATAATGGTAATTAAGAGAGAGAGAAGAGAGAGTATACATTAGGAAGTTATATTTATCATTAACATTGCCAATGAATATTTCCAAATGATATAATCATTAATGTTCTCTCATATTTTTACTCAGTCTCATTGAATTTAAGTGCATTGTTTATTGTTGTTAAACTTTGATATAAATTTAAAAAAAAATAATGACCGCTGTATCAGCGTCTTTTCATGAAGGAGATGATGAAGTGGAAGATGACAATGATGCAAATGATTATAATCCACAAGCAAAGTTAATTAAAACATTAGAAGTAAGTTCTTATTTTTTTTTAAACCGATAAGATAAGCATGATATATATAGAAATATATATTTTTTTTTTAATATTTTTGATATTAAAAGTATAGATGTATCATTTGTGTAGGTAAATACTTATTGTGTATCTTCTTTATCCAGAGAAATGGAATTACAGCAGGTGATATTAAAAAATTAGAAGAAGCTGGTTATCATACCGTAGAAGCAATAGCATACGCCCCAAAGAAACACCTTATTTGTATCAAAGGTATTAGCGAAGCTAAGGCAGACAAAATATTACAAGAAGCATCTAAATTAGTGGTAATGGGTTTTAAGAGTGCTACAGAGATACATCAAATGCGTGCAAATATTGTTTATGTTTCTACTGGTTCTACTGAGTTGGATCGATTATTAGGTGGAGGAATTGAAACGGGTTCTATCACAGAAATTTTTGGAGAATTTAGGACAGGAAAGTCTCAATTATGTCACACGTTAGCTGTAAATTGTCAATTACCTATAGACATGGGAGGAGCAGAAGGTAAATGCCTTTACATAGATACAGAAGGAACGTTTAGACCAGAAAGATTAATTGCTGTTGCCGAAAGATACAAAATCGCTGGCGATTCTGTTCTTGATAATGTCGCCTGTGCTAGAGCTTATAATACGGATCATCAAACTCAGTTAGTAATACAAGCCAGTGCTATGATGACAGAGTCCCGATATGCTATGTTAATTGTCGATAGTGCAACAGCTCTTTATCGTACTGATTATTCTGGTAGAGGAGAATTGTCAGCTAGGCAAAATCATTTAGCCAGATTTTTGAGGATGTTACTGCGAATAGCAGATGAACATGGCGTAGCTGTTGTTATAACTAATCAAGTAGTAGCTCAAGTCGATGGTGCAGCTTCTATGTTTGGTGGTGATCAAAAGAAACCAATTGGTGGTAATATCATAGCGCACGCAAGTACGACTAGATTGTATTTACGTAAAGGTAGAGGAGAAACGAGAATATGTAAGATTTATGATTCACCTTGTTTACCAGAAAGTGAAGCAATGTTTGCTATAAATGCAGATGGTATAGGAGATGTAAAAGAATAATACATTTTGCTTCAGTAGAGTATATTTTTGATAATGTAACAATAATAATAGTTTAAAAGTCTGTTAAACTCTGTATTTCTTAAAATAAATTATACATTGTTTTTTACATAAATACTACCATTCTTCTAATACAAATAAATAAGTATTTTAATTGTAATAAGCATTATGTATAGATAAGCAGTAAAATATGTTCATTTTCTATAGATTAAATATCTCGATTACCTCAAGAAAAAAACGCATATTTTTCTATACAAATTTGTAAGATTTATTGTAAAAAAGTTTCTATAATAAATGCAATTGTTTATTAATTAACTTTTTGAACAAAGATCTGTAATTGATGAAAATAAACGTATAAAATTGATTTCGATTAAGAGGTACACAGGCGAAAACAGGAAGCATTGGATAAATAATCCTACCAAAAATTGAAAGGTATTGTACTTTCGTAGTAAGAGAAATGAGGAATAAATAATTTCTCTATTTTTCATAAGAAAATATCTATTCATAACGAGTTAACTCGTTATCCTCGATAAATTAACATTTTCAAGTTTAAAATTAATTTCAATGTAGTTGTATAATACAAATACAAAAGGTACATATGAATGTTTGTTTTTCGGTCTTTAGATTTATTATTTTTTGATTATGGCAATATTTATTATTATCGCAAGATAGAATCAAGTTAAATATACTAACAAAAGATAAAATATAAAAACTAATCTCGAAAAACTCCTGTATAGAATGGAAATGTGCGCGCGCAGAAACGCAACAAAGAATCGTCACCACCATTTATAATTTATTAGTATCTTCAACCTCAATTCGATCTTATTGTGATAAAAGCATTTATTTAGTGACTTATAAAGTTTAATGAATAATTCAAATTATTATATTTGAAAAAATACAAATATCAAAACCTAAAAGACGTAACCAGTGAAATATCGAGTGAGATATGTTATTCACAAGATCAAATCCTATTTCGCTTACTTTATGTTAATAGTTTAACCTTCACCGGCTTAGTTTCGAAAAAATGTTCAAATTATTCTATTTAAATTCATTAATTCGTTTTAATTCATCGAAATTAAATCATGTTTCGCGAGTATTTTACTTGACAAATACTTTTAAAGTACAGACTATTCAATCGAAAAGAAGCCGGTAGGTTAAACCTTGGAAAAATGCGATGACACATTCTCGAATGTTAGGGTCTATTGATACTTGATTATTAATTATGTTTTTTATTTTTTTATTTCAGTAGATATTACTCTTACAACACGATGAGTGACGATATATCTTTATATACTTTACCAAATAATCAGCCTTTGGTTTTATTAGAATGTGACACGTCGTTTAAATTGTTAACGCTGAAAGAAAAAGTGTATGCACATTATTTGAGCAATGCAGCATGGCATGGTGGTCTTATTGTATATTTACAACTTTCGCAAGAATCTCCATTGATTTTTGCTCTCTTTCATAAAATTTTTCTTTCCGAATCTGCAGATAATTTAAAACAATCTGCAAAGGAGAAGGGCATTTCTGATGATGAATTTACTGTAAGTATACTTTTATATACCCTTTAATATTCTTATGTTTTATTTAGTTTATATTTTTGTATTTTCTTTTTTCAGGCTTTCTTGGTCTATGTGTGTGGAATTATAACAAATGGCGGTAATTACAAATCCTTCGGTGACAGTAAAATTATACCTAATTTATCTAAAGAAAAATTTGAAACAATCGTCAAAGCATCTACAGCATTTAAGGAAAATTCAAATGAAATACAATACCTCTGGGACAATATTCACAATTTGATATTTTCTTTAGAAAACAAGTTGAAATCATTAGGATTGGGTGACAAAGGTGTAACCACTTATTTCTCTGCTAACTGTACGCACGAAGATGCTCGATTAGTTAATAATTTTATGGAATCTAAAGGATTGGAGTTATATAATACAAGATGTTTTAAAACTTTAATACCATCCAAAGATTCTGAAAGTGATAAAAAAACAAGTCTATATGAGATAAGATTAGCTTCCATAGATACAGAAGACGATCCAGAAATAACTTTACCGCAGGAAACCTTTGAAGAAGCAGAATTCAAAATCACAAGAGGAGATTATGATATAATTTTAACAAAGGTTAATGACGATCTTCAACAAGCTAAAGAATATGCAGCAAATATGGACGAAAAACAAATGATTGATAAATTTATAAGTCATTTTAAAACAGGCTCATTAAAAGATCATAAAGATGGTTCTCGTTTCTGGATCGACGACAAAGGTCCAGTCATTGAAACTTATATTGGTTTTATAGAAACATATAGAGATCCAGCAGGACAAAGAGCTGAATTTGAAGGTTTTGTAGCTATAGTTAACAAAGAAATGTCTCAAAAGTTTGCTAAATTAGTGGATAAAGCACAAGAGCTTATTCCTAAACTTCCTTGGGGTAAAGATTTTGAGAAAGATTCATTTTTGAAACCTGATTTTACTTCGTTAGAAGTTTTAACATACTCGAGTTCAGGCATTCCTGCTGGAATAAATATTCCAAATTATGATGAGATTAGACAGTCTCAAGGATTTAAGAATGTTTCCTTAGGAAATGTTATACCTGCTAATATGAAGCAAGATGTAATACCATTTTTATCCAACGAAGATGTAGAATTATTGAACAAGTACAGAATTCCTAGTTTTGAATTACAAGTTGGATTACATGAACTTCTTGGTCATGGGACTGGTAAACTACTACGGTCATATGGACTTAATATGTACAATTTTGATGCGAATAAAGTAATAAATCCATTAACAGGATCTCTCGTAGATAAGTATTTCATGCTTGGAGAGACATATGCTTCTAAATTTGGTGCAATGGGATCGTCATATGAAGAATGTCGAGCAGAAGCAGTCGGTCTTTATTTGTGTTTAAATAGAGATGTTGTACGTATTTTTGAATATCCAGATGAAGAAATTGATGATATAATTTATGTCAACTGGTTGTCATTGCTATGGAATGGCTGTGCCAAAGCTTTAGAAATGTATGATCCTTCCACTAAAAAATGGCTACAAGCACACTCTCAAGCACGATATGTTTTACTTACAGTTTGTCTTGAAGCAAAAGATAGTTTTGTTACTGTTACTGAAACTGAGCCGGGAAAAAATTTAAGAATGACTTTAGATAGATCGAAAATTGGAACATCTGGAAAAGAAGTAATTGAAGAGTTTTTGAAGAAACTTCAAATTTATAAAAGTACAGCAGATGTAGACAATGCTAGAGAATTGTATGAAAAATATAGCGAAGTACCTGATTCTGGCCCATACCCATGGGCACGTTGGAGAGAGATAGTTTTACTCTATAAACAGCCTAGAAAAATGTTTGTTCAACCAAATACATTTATTCAAAGAGGTTTGTACATTTCTATATGTCACATTTATTTATTGGAAACTATTTAAAAAAAATTAATTCTTATGTTACTAATATGCGTGATAAACATATTTTAGAAAACGGCAATATTTCTAATGTGATTTTAAAAAATTATGAACCAACTTTCTCTGGATTGATTCAATCGTGGATAGAAAGATATCCTTCAGCAGACATTTCAGACTTACTTATTCAACTTTGGGAGAAAGATAAGAAATATTTCGTATTGGAAAACACAGATTAATGAAAAAATGTCATACTAAACTATAAGAATACATATATCATAATTGCTTTTTTACTATACATACAATTTTACTCAAGAATTATTAAATATAAGAAAATTTCATATGTTTTTTAAAGGACATATTTTGTAAGTTCTGATAAATATATGATTTCGTTACAAATATACATTCATGTAATTGTATGGCTTTAAGCACATAAGCATAATCATCATTTAGTCATACGGTCCTCGTATGCATTGGTATTTCACTAAGAATACTACCTTATTTATTTGAAAATTATTCTAGATATTTCCATACATTTTCCAGAGCTGGAATTCATCATTTAATAGTACTCCAAATCATATTTATGAAAATTACTAATTTAATGATAGTTTCACAATTCTAAGATAAAATAATGAGAGTTTAGGAAAATAAAATTTAAACCAATATAGTTCTATAGTGAAAAATTGCGCGCTCTATAGGACAAATAAGGAATTATTGTTAATTCAAAGTACTTTTTCCTCTCTTATAAAATGTTTTTTATGGAGGAAATGTATATGTATACTACGTGACATCGCGCACGCGGTAAAATGTACAATTTTATATATTGTTTTGTCGTATAGGAATATCAGTGTTTTTAGTTTTGGCGGGAACGATTAGACACTGCTAACAAAATGGATAAAATAGAAAATTTGCAAAAATATTTTCAAGAATTTGGATGTACTGTCGAAGACAATCGTGTTCTTGATAAGTGTAAGTAATTCTTATAATAAAAAATTTCAATATTATCTCTTTCATACTTTTTAAAAAATATTTTGAAAATTACATGTATTACGAATGCATTTGAAATAAAATTGAAAGTATAATTGCCATTTTCGACTATATACAATTAAATTATAACAATATTATCAATAAAATGATCAATTATGTCATACAATTTTGTTCATTATCTAACCTAACTTCTGAGATACTAACTTTCTATATGAATGATAAGCAATACATAGTATTTTTTGTGCTTATATCTTTATTTATCAAAATTTGCTCATTTATCCGTCAATATTTTAACGGGTAATATTGATATTATTTATTTTTATGTTTATATTATTATTTCTTATACATATTGTGCAACATGCATTCATTAAAATGTTTTTTAAAAGTCCAGACAATATCATATCTTTCTCTCTGGAAATTTTAGAGGCAACATATTTAATGGCATTCAAATCTAAGTTAAATTAATGTAATAATTTAGAGCGTTTCAATTTAATAAATACAATATTCTCATTTTTAGGTACACAATTGTGCGATTTGTATGATGTAGACGAAGAAAAATTTGTGGAGATGTGGTTAGGATACAGTACTTCTACATATAACGAAGTTGATATTTCTTTAAATCGACTTGTTAAAATGGAGCATGACTTATTAAAAAAACAAGATCAGAGTAATAGCATAAATAAAACAGGAGAGTTTTCAAATGCTAACAGTGTT